ACGATGGTCCTGGTAGCACCTGAGTCGATGATGGCCTGTCCAGGAAGTAGTGCCGCAAAGTAGCACTCATCAACTGTTGCATTCTCCTCCACATAGAAACTTGTTCTTGAGGCACTTCTTTGACACCATTGGACTGAACTCTGAAACGCTTGAAGCGACGTCCATGTTGGCCGGTAAGAGCCAGACAAGGTCGACTTGATGTCATTGATGTTCGAGCTGTTGCTGGAACTGGTAGGTCTCCGCAATCCGGACATAGGTCGACGGTTGTCAAAGGTTCTGCGGAAGCCACTCTTCCCTTTTCCTTTTCCTTTCATGGAACTTTGCCTTGCCCTTTCCTTTCGAAGAGCTTTATGCCTTTTCCTTTTCCTCCTCCTTTGCCCTCGACATCAGGACCGAGAGCTACCACTGGGAAGAATCCTCTTGAAAGGGCCAACTCACGCATTCTTCGTCGGCTGTCCAGGTAGGAGATGAAAACTGCATCGACAGCGTCAGCTGCCTCGTCCATTTCTTCAGGCCACTTTTCATCTTCTTCGTAGTTGATCTCATCTTCCCACCAATCCAAATCTTCTTCTTCATAGAAGCCTTTTTCATCGTCGATGTCGTATTCGTCCTCGAACATGACTTCATTTGAGCTGCCAGTCATCTTCATGAAATCTTTGGGATTTGGCCGATGGTCTCCTCCGAACACCTTCATCAACGCCTTGTGGACTTTCTCATACTCCAGCTCTCCTTGGCATAGTGTCTTCACCTGGACATGAGTCCAACGAGGAACACCGGCACGGGTGAGAAGATGCCAACCAGATAGGGGAGCTGGCATTTCCACTCCAACTTCCTTCATTCTCTTCAACAAAGTCCGGTGCCTGACCAGGTAGGAGGTCATGTCCTCATTCTTTAGTCGCTGGAACTCGGCAAAGAACTCTTCACATCGAGTTGGAACCTCAACCTGTTGTTCATATTGATACAAGTTGTCCAGGATCTCATACACAAAGGTGAAGGGGCAACTGCTCCTTTCCAAGGCTTCGAAGAAGATCTACTCAGTGGAATCCCAGCCCAAGTCCTGCAATCGAGAGATCAGGAGAAGCGTACCCTCGATGGCGGCGTCAACACTTCTTCTATGACATTGTCTCTCGAACAGTTCAACTTTTCTTGGAAAGCTTCGGTAGTTCTTCTGGTTGAGCTTGTCGGTGTCTGGACAAGCCTTGGACAGTCCAGAATCCAAACCTTTGTAGTTGCTGCCACCAGTTCGTCGGGGGAACCTCCATTAGCACGAGGTGGTTGTAATAGATCTTCCGGAAAATCTTCTTGTCTTAGAGTCCGTACTCTTTCTGTCGGTGGCTCTGATCTTTCTGCAGTCCCTGAGCCACGATTCATCGTAGCTGTCAAGCTGTACTCAAATACTTGGAGAGGATCGTGTCCAGGTGTGCTACCAATCTCGTTGTAAGGGATGACAAGCCCTCGAAGTATCGTACCCGTCGAAAATAAAAAAGCGCAGCGATTTCTGCGAAAGGCGTAGCGGTCGATTAGCGATCAAGGGCCCTCGTAAACCCAATAGCAAACGGAAAACATAGAAATAAATCAAATCTACCAATGTGCATTCGTGACATTGACAGTGTTTTATATAGAATTTCCTCAAAAAATCCCACATCAAATTTCCAAAACAAATATTTCGACGAATTTCCTCCAAAAGTTACATATACATCAAATCTCCAAAATAAACATTTCTTGCGACACTTCCTCAGAAATACACGTTAAAATCTACAAAACGATTATTTCAGATAAAATTGCCTCAAAAATTCATATATCAAAATCTTCACATATCAAATTTCAAAGACCTTCCTCCAAAAATCACTATCAATTCTCCAAAATAGATGTTTATATAAAATTTCCTCAAAAAATCCCATTTTATATAAAACTTCCTCAAAAAATTCCATATCCGACGAACTTCCTCCAAATGTTACATATACATCAAGTCTCCAAAATAAACATTTCTTACGAAACTTATTCAAAAATACACGTTAAAATCTACAAAACGAACATTTCAAACGAAATTTCCTCAAAAACGAAATTTTCTCGAAAACTTACATATCAAAATCTACAGCCCAAGCAATTTCACGATTCCAATCCCTCCAAATAATATCCGCTCAAATGCCAAGCCCCATGTAGCAACGACATTCACCTCTACCACAATTCCCAACCTCACGATTCTCTATACCTACCACGAAGCTATCCGCATCCACACATTTTCTAACAAAAAATAACAATATCATTTCGTATAAACTTCAACAAAATTTACACCACACCTTCAGAATAATTTCGACCCATTCTAAACACACTCCCATCCACCCAAAAACGCCATTTCAACTAAAACTCGAACTTCGACATCACACCCTACAACATCCAACACCCCAAAAGTACGATTTTCCAAATATTTAATCCCAATAAACTACGCAACCTACGAATCCCACAAAACGTCACGTCTATACAACGACGCCAATTAACATGTAATACGTCCACGACGCAAACCATATAAACGTCATTCCAATCCGTAAATTATAAACGAAAATCTTCGTTATGCATTCGGGAATACAAATAAAATACAATACTTTAGGCCAAGGGAGGGAGAAAACTAACGCTCCAGAATGGGAAAGTAGAAAACAACGAGCTAAGAAAACACACGGCGCTCTTTTTAGAGACAAGGATGAAGAATCCTTTATATATGGATCTTTGCCCGGATCCTCCTGCGAGAAAAAAGAAAGAAGAGAAACGGAAAGACGAGAGAGAGAAAGAGAGACGAGAGACGAGAGATGAAAGATGAGAGATGTGAAATGTGGATGAAAGAGAAGAGAGAGAGAGAGATGGATGAGAGAGAGAGAGATGGATGAGAGAGAG